TTTTTGAACAAATAATTATATAACTTATAAGGGAAATATTCACATCCGTTTGAAGAATACTCATGATGTCGTACTATTAAATCTCATCTTACTCCTGTCTGCAGCACTAAAGGACCGAATTCTTTTGTCAGCGAGGTTGGTTTAATAAAGTTTAAACACATCACATCGTATTTTTCATGCACTTTTTATTTAATAAACGGATCTGGGGTATTATTTTAAAAATATGACAAAGATTCCCGTATACAGTAATGTTTTTTCATTACTGAAAAGAGGAATAATCCCGTTTTATAGTAATACTTCCTCGAAAAAGGAACTGTGCCCAACCTGTTAATCACTGAAAAGACAAATCCTACTTGAAAAACAACCAGCGTAAATAAGATAGCAGACGGGGAAGGAAAATTTAGATAGAATTTGTTGAAAAAAAAATCTACCACGTTTTGTGACTTGAGATGACTTTTTATCCAATTCTTTGCCTGTTTTCTTTTCTCTCATTGGAGGACGGGGATAGCCAACACTCAACTCGGTAGATAAAGATTATTTCAAGTTACTTAGCATGGGAGACATTTTCAACTGTGAAATTGTAAAATTTATTTATTGAATAAAAGTGATATTCTGCCACAGTGTGAAAGGATCTCAAAATGATATTCTGTAACAGTGTGACAGAATATCAGAAGTGCGATAAAACTCAAAGTTTTCCTTCCATTAAAGAAAAATGCTGTAAAAAAATTCTCCCTGTCCTATTATAAGGCTGAGTAAATAAACCATCCTGACAGACACATAAAGTGCAAAAAATTCTTCAAATATGTTGTGAAAATGCAAATTTACATGTTTTCATTCTCACATTCCCTAAGTATGACGTCGCAACCGCTCAACTATGACGTCACAGCCTATGACACTGTACTACAATTCAATCCAATTCACTTTATTGACCATGTCCGCATCTAGGTTAAGGACGCCCATGAAATATACGCCTTTATATATTCAGGGAAAATGAATACAATTTTAATATTTTTTTAACAGCAGTAGTTTTGATAAATGTGAATTGTGGTGATTGCATTTGTATATATCGGGTCTCTTCTGAGTTCGGCCAAAGTGACATCGCTTACATCAGCTGTTTGTCACGTGACAGGTTTAAAATTGGACCATATATGTACTACTACAAAGATCGTAAAAGTTCAACGATATACGGACATTCTTCCGCTATAAAATTTATTTTGTTTTCTTTGAGACAAATTCCTTAACCTGAAAAGTGCTGGGAGCAACTTCCTCATGCTTGAGAATTGTTTAAAATTTAGCCGTCTTTCTATAAACTCCAGACAAAAATGTAATACGCATTGGAATAATGTTAGATTACGGAATAAATAAACAATGTACAACCAGCTCCCAGCACTTTTCAGAACAGTAGGAATAATGGCTACACGTGTTTAAAAATTCAGAATTTATAGTGAAACGGATATCGTTGAACTTTTGATATTTTCGAGGGGCTGGACCCCTCATTCTAGCACGTTACTGTACAAATGTGCTCCTTACGACTATATATAAAGTCTACACATTATCAATTTAGTTTGACAATAAAATGTGGATTAATATATTTCAGTATGTGTCTCTGTTTTTGTCTGACTACGCAAGTTTCGTATTTATTTTTATTTTTACAAGCCACGATAAAAGTTTGATCCACGCCTCAAATTCAGAGAAACTGCGTGTCAAACTAAGAAATGACGTCATCTCAGTAAGTACAGCGAGATCAAGCTGGCTTTCATTCTGCATACGCTAAGTGCTATTATGCCAAGATAAGTTGCACATCCATTTATTTTTTTAACATTTATGAGAAACGAAAGTATTTCGTGTGTTTTAAAAAGAACATTATAGTATTTATTCATCGAGATTCATTTGTATTGTTTTAACGTGACGTCATAATAGCTCTCCCAAACCTCTGCATAGGATGACGTAGATATGGGAGTCCTTAACCTAGCTGCGTCGGCATACAGTCATGAACAATAATAACATAAAACAAATTACACGATTAATACAGGTGAGTCTCGATCTCTCGAACTTCTAGGGACCGCAAGAAAAGTTCGAGAGATCGAGGAGTTTGAGAGATAGAAAGTGAATAAAGTCCGGAATTTTCAGTCCCGACAATCGTTGTTCTACTATTATAAATACCGGAAGTATATGCCGTTAATGTCATTGCACGTTTTCATTCGTATTTAACAGGTAATTCACTTGATTTCAAAAACAATGATCGTATTTTGAATAAATAAAACGATCTCTTTAAGTTTCAATATTTATTTGTTCTCATTTCATGATTACATGAAACCTGAATAGCAATCGTCGGTGTTGCTGTCCCCCGGGCTTGATCGGGTTCTTCACCAGATTTCTCGTATTAAATCGGTATTCAATTCTTGAGATAGGATTTCTTGTGCAATGTTATACTGGGATTATGTAGACTATAATAAAACTTCATAATCTATAGAAAATTATTGACACGTCTCTTAAATTATTTTCTAAAAATTATCGTCTTGCTGTGGAGTCAAAAATAAGTTGTGAAGCAATTCGCTTATAATTTACCAAATATAACCAATAAATTAAATTATATCAACACTCGGACGACACAAAAGTGTAGTGTCATCTATATAAACACGCAATTAACACCTCCATGCCAGCGCCAGACGTTCACTGTTATCCAGATAAGTCAAAGTTACATTAATTTCACACTTCAATCAAAACTTCGAGAGATAGAGAGTAAAAAAAAAACTATGAAATATGTGTAATGGGACCCAGATCTTGGTTCGATAGATAGAGAACTTCGAGAGATCGGAAGTTCGAGAGAGCAGAAGTAAATTTGCTTAGTTATATAGAGTAAAAAAAACGGGACCGGAGATTCACTTCGAGAGATCGGAGTTCGAGCCATTGAGAGTCACCTGTACATGCATATACAAAGTGACATATGTGAGTTTAACAAAATAATGTAGAGTATAATCACACATTTCTAAGTATTCATTGCTGACTTTCTTTTCTGGTGTCAAAGCACTTTTTTTAAAAAAACAACATACCGTTCTAGCAGTTGTAATATTTGTAGGATTGACAATTTTTCTAATGGGATTATCACTAGTATATGTGTTTATATTTAAAATATCAGTATACTTGCATCTATATTGGTCATAATTTGAACAGTATAGAAGAAAATGTTTTTCGTCTTCAATAAACATTTATATGAATAGCATAGACGTTTTTCTCTAGGAGTAGGGGGTTAACAGTATCTACCCGTTTCAATATAAGTGGATGGGCACTGATCCTTAATTTTGTTAATACAGATCTATAAGTTTTTTTCAAAGGCAGCTTTAAATAACTTTGCAATTTATATTCATTTTGATTCACAACTTTGCTATAAAAAGCTAACTTTCCAGAGTCTGATTTGCTTATATTTTTCAGTTGTTCATGTATCTTGTTTTGGTAATGCTCTTGTAATTTGTTTTTCAAGGTTGTGTGAGAAATATCCAAAGAATTGATATTTAATTTTTGTAGTTATGAAGACAGTTTTCTTTGCCAAGATATTCTAGATACAAGATTGTTGTCTTCTTTAAATCACTAAATAATTATTATAATCATATTTGCATTCCATTTCCTTGAGTCTCTTAAAATATTTAAACATATATTCATACCATAAATAGTACAAAGGAAAACGACCCAGTTGACATAAAACGGCAAGATTTCATGCATTTCTATGTACCCTAGTATGTCTTTAAATATTTAGTGCTGTGCTTTTTCAAAAGGAAAATTGGTCTAAAGACATTAAACCAAATTTAAAGTCAGTTATCCATACTTCAGATCCTTTTTTGATAATTGGTATTATCATTGACTGATGTAATTTTAACACAATTTCAGCTGAAAAATTAATGTTTGCATGAAAATTTGATTTATTATTTATTATTATCTTTATTACAAAATGACAGAGACAAAAGGGAAAATCAAAGAATTGTAATAAACAGAGAATACAGTATTTTGTAGTCGGATATGGAATTTATCTCACTCGCGAGACTGGATTTTTTTAAATATTTTTATTCGTTCTTCGCACTCGTGAATATAGCAAGAAATCCTGTTCCACTCGTGAAATAAATGCCAAATCCAAGTACAAGACATTATAGGCCTATATGCTCTATACAGTTTACTATACCTCTACTAACAATACTATACCATACTTTATACACTATACTAAATACACTATATTATTTTTTATTACATTTTCAACAATGAAATACTGTGATTTATTTATTGAATAAAAGTGATATTCTCTCACAGTGTGAAAGGATATCAAAATGATATTCTCTCACAGTGTGAAAGGATATCAAAGTAAGTAAAAAATAAAGTCTGACCTGTCATAAGATAGAGATAGTAACTAAGCATCTTGATAGACCTAAAACTGCAAATTTCCTCCCAAATATGTTGCTAAAATCCATGCTATGTAATGTTTTCAATCACACAACTGCTAAGCTATGACGTCTCAACCGCTCAACTATGACGTCAAGCCTATGACACTGTGTTATGAAAAGACAGAGGCAGAGTAAAAATCAAAGAAAATGTAATAAACAGAAAATTCAATGTTTTGTAGATGAATATGGAATTTATTTCACTCGTGAGACAGGATTTTTCGATATTTTCACTCGTGCTTCGCACTCGTGAAAATATCAAAAAATCCTGTCCCACTCGTGAAATAAATTCCATATTCATCTACAAAACATTGAATATCCTCTATATATTATACTATGCTCTACTATCTATTCCATACTATACTATGCTATACGATACTATAACGTACTAATATAAGATTTCATAGCAGTATAACATAAAAGACGTGCAATGAAATAAAGTACTGGATAATTAAAATCGCCTTAAATTTGCGCCTTTACTAGTCCTTATCATTTAAATCGGACGCACTATACCTGAATTAATATTTTCTGATAAATAAAAAGGTTCTAATGTCCAATCTCTCTTTATAAAAGGGTTTTCAAGAGCTACGTTTCCTCGGTACATAAGTGGAACTCCTCTGGACCTTAGGGAGGACGAAGATCGGGAATCTCATCTGCTCAAAAAATATCTGAAATGTGGCACGACTACTGGATTGACAATGGGATATCTTCATCTTGATTTATTCAGAGGAAGACTCAGAGATTGCAGATTCAGCAAAAGTACGAAAAACCTTCAACATAAATACTACCAAAAGCAACTAATTATCGAAGGTGAAAACTTCTCTATGGGTGGAGATTCTGGATCATTTGTCTTCCAGGTTAGGGAGGATCATATATTAGATTGTATTGGAATGCTTGTCGGGAGGTGTGGGAAATATAGAAGAGCTGTTACCCCTATCATCCCTGTGCTAAATGCACTCAACGCGAGTCTAATTCCATTTCCCTAAAATGTGCAACAGGGCTGCCCAACCTTTTATCTTAGATCCGCACATTATGCATTGACCACCATTATATTATTTTTGTTGTGTCGTTCTGTGAAATATGTTGCATTATTGTTCTTGTTTCAGGGTCTCAATTAGCGTAGATATAGCTTACATTGCAAAAATGTGTTGCAATGAACGGGAGAGGGGTTAAATCCAATGGCAAATCTTTGCTCTGACGTGTAAGAAGCACTTCACAATTGATAAATATACTGTTAACGCGTAAATGTATGTGTTATTCTACTACAACTTTTGTCACGTTCCAAAAAAAAAATGCCTCAGACGTTAGCCTCCAGTAAATCAAGAACATAAGTAATCAAAAGATTATCAGATCCTAAATAAATGAACATCGAAGTATCGTATTCTACACTTTAAATGGTGTGTATTGCCTATATATGATCTCCCATAATTTGTAGTTGGATATGATTTTTATCCAACGAGTTGTGTGGTTTTTATCCCCGAGCCTTGGCGAGGGGATAAAAACACACAACGAGTTGGATAAAAGTCATATCCAACTACAAATCATGGGAGATTCTTTTTATCCCGTGTTTAATACTTCACAACTAATGTTTTACACTGTTTTATATAACACGTACTCCACTATATTTTAGTTCATCACTTTAACGCAAAAACCATTGTGACGTCACAACTGCACGTAACTGTGGGATATGAAAAAAAATATCCAATGAGTCATATCCACGGGATAAAGGGATAAACATTGGATATATATATATATATATATATATATATATATATATATATATATATATATATATATATATATATATATATATATATATATATATATATATATATATATATATATATATATATATATATATATATATATATATATAATGGATATATGCTACAGTTGTACTCCTGTGTATATTTTAACATTTTTTCAATTCTTTCTTATTTAGTTACATTAGAATTAATATAGTAATAACTGATTAAGAACTACTTCATTATTGACAATCATAATACACATTATAGTCAATTTTTAACATCCGTGACCTCTTGACCTTCTTGACCCCTTGGCCCTCTTGGAAAGGACTTATACAGCCATGCCTAATTCAGTAACAGACTTTACATAGTAAAATATTTTTTAATTAAATAACGTATGATTTGACGGAGCAACGCTTATGTGTTATTGGCCACTAAAGTAAAGATTCTTTTATGAAATGCGTGACTTTTGTGTGCTTTTGTCGTGATTTTTGAACGGCCTTAGTACAATTTTTTAATATTTTGACAGTATAATAAAGAAATTAATATCTTTAAATTGAGAAATTAACGTTAAATTGTACTCTGATTATTATTATTATTATTAGGTCTTCCGTCTCCAACGGAAGACCTTTCTATCATTTTATTGTTTCTTTTTCTCTTTTTCACTATTATTATTATTTTTTTCTGTCCAAATTTTGTGCAGACGATTTCTCAGAGAAGCTAGGACGGATTTACTAGAGACTTTCATGTATCGTGATCTAAACCTTTTCTTTAATTTTTGGAAATTTACTTCTGGTCGGAAGTTATCGCCCTTTCATTGATTTTTAGTGACCATGTTGTCGGCACAAAAACTCATAAATGACAAAAGGTAGAGTACTGAACTTTTCAGTGATGATAGACGACATGTTGTAGTTATGCACATGGGTTTTCAAATTTTCTGGAAGTGCCTAGTACGGAAGCTCGGTAGGGGTTGAAATTTAGGACATGAATGAGGAGTGAATTTTGGAGACATTTTTTATCATATCTTCAAATCTGTGAATATTTTCTTAAAACATATTGAACAGAAATTGTGTAGAATTACATGATCTTTTATATGATATCAAGAAAAAAGGGCTGACTTATCACATTAGGGGTCAAAAGGGGCCAAAAGACTTTAGACTTAAATCCATAACTCTTTAACGATCAATATTTTGTTATACATTACTGAAGCAAAAATATTTATGTTAACAATCTACAACTATATATTATTATATTTACGTCATGTGTTACATAATTAGGGGCCATAAGGGACCAGAATACTAAATCTTTGACACTTTATATCTCGAAAGTGGGAAATATTTTGATAAGCAATGTTGAACAAATGATTTTAAAATAATGTTCTGATTAATATTTAACCTTTCAATATTTGCTAAACGTCCCCATAAAGGAGTTGAAAGGCCAGCCTTTAATTATTTCTTTTGCATATATCTCGGAAACGAACAAGAATTTCTGAATAGTTGTTGAACAAAAAGTGTTCAAAATCATAAGAGCTTTAAGGTGATAAGGGCCGAAAAGCTTTCATCAATAACTCTTTAGCAATCAATATTTGTAAAATATTACTGAAGCAAAAATGTTTATTTGAGCAAACTACAGCTGATATTATGTAATTCACATCATCTGTTACATAATTAGGGGTCATAAGGGGCCAAAATGCTAAAACTTTGACTCTTTATATCTCGAAAGTGGGAAATATTTTGATAAACAATATTGAATAGAAAATATTCACAATAACGTTCTGAACAATATTTAGCCTTTCAATTTGCCCTAAAAGTCCCATTAAGGAGTTAAAGGGCCGGACTCTTTATATTTCTTTTGCATATATCTCGTAAACAAAAAAAATTCTGAATAACTGTTGTACAAAAAGTGTTCAGAATCATAAGAGCTTTAAGGTGATATCAAGAAAAAGGTGCTGACCCCTCAAAATAAGGGCCAATAGGGGTCGAAATCTTTCATCATTTACTCTTAAACGATCAATATTTTGTGATATATTACTGAGGCAAAATAGATCATCTTCACACTCATGCTGTTGGCATCATATTTTTCGTTATAAGGGTTCATTAGGGGCCAGAATGTTCAATCTTTCAGGCATTATAACTCAAAAGTGGGAAATATTTTTGATGAGAAATATTGAACAAAAGATGTTCACAATAATGTTCTGAACAATATGTAACCTTTCAATTTTTGCTTAACGTCCCCATTAAGGAGTTGAAGGACCGGCCCCTATTATTTGTTGTGCATATATCTCGGAAACAATAAAGAATTCCCGAGTAGTTGTTGAACAAAAAGTGTTCAAAATTATGAGAGCTTAAGATGATATCAAGGAAAAGGGTCTGACCGAAAGTATTTAATCCACACCTCTCTAATGATCAACATATTGTTTCACATTACTGAAGCTAGATTGCTCTTTTTAGCAATTTATTTAAAGAATGAAATCTAATTAGGGAAGTCTAATTCAGATTCTTATCTCACCCTATCAAAAATCGGACGGAAGACCCACTCGTTGCTCGCAACGAGATCTCATCTACCTATTATTATTATTATTATTATTATTATTATTATTACATGTATTATTATTATTATTTGCCTATTTTAATGACGAAATTTTCATATTTTTCGTTGTTTCTACAGCTATATAAGTAAAAGAAAAAGTAGCCACACGGAGCAAGTCACGTTTCTGCACTTTTTCATTATATAGACAATTTGTTGAATCTATAAATTGCACTGTTCTAGCGGGTAAAGATTTATAATATTTTCATCTATCGATTTAATATTTATCAAACGTATTTTCGTAAAATTTTGAATTAAATTGGAGATCAATTAACTGTTTATTGCTAATTATACCGCGTAGATGATCAATGCATAAAAATACAGTCGATCGTCCATACCCAAAAGAGACTTGAATGGTATAAGATGCTGCTGTTGATTGCCTACATGTACCTGGAACTAAATTGGTTAATTGGTGCCAGCTTTTTAAGGAATGAATGAAATATGAAGATAACGAACAGTAATCAAGCTCAAAAGTCCATTTGAACAATGCAAATTTGGAGCCGAACAAACACGGGCCGCTAGAAACATCAAAGGTGGGATCAGGTGCCTTGGAGGAGAAAGCATCCCCGGTTGACTGGTCACACCCACTCTGTGCTCCTTGTGATTACCGGGCAAACGGAAAAATCCGTAGACAATTTAGTGTGAAAATTATTAGGGTACAATTTGTATGAAAAAGCTCAGTTAGCATTCGACTTAACAATAGATTGCCATTTTTATGATCAACTCCTGCGATACTACGCATATCAAATGGGCATTCCCACTATGGAATTCTATTGCTTCTATTTCAGCTGAATACTAAACTGCAATGAAAACAACTTTAGCATAAAAATGATATCCGAGCACACCACATAAGACATAATAGAAAAAAGTATCATGTCTTGCTAAAAAACATTTTTATAAGAGAAAAAAGACAAGTCTGTAGAAGTGAAAGATTCTTAATTTTTTAAAGGACAGGTTTGGAATCATGTTTTCATGTCATCTTACGTCATAAAACTTGGTTGCTCCATGAATTCTATGAACGCAAAGTAAAAGCCATTGTATATTTTTTTTAAAATCTATACTTATCAGGAGAAGATAATAATTTAATCACACATATGTCATTCCTCAAAGTACTCTATAATTTTCCTCTAATTCACTGCATGTGACCGCGAACTCTTCTAATAGTCATATTCCTGGTAATAATTTTTGCTTTTTTTAATTTTTGAATACTTTTATTTGATCCATTAAGCTAGTTGGTAATGATGTATTTGTGTTTGCTCAAGTAGATATCTGCTGTATGTTATTCCTTAGTATGTAATAAACACAATACAACATACCTATTTCCATATCACCTCGACCAATATCAGCCCTCTGGCTGGATTTGAAATTTGAAAAATATAATGACATTTTCTAAGGGAAACGATTAAGTCAAAGTTCCAAATTTTATTAGATGTATATGACATCCCTTTTGCCAATGAATACCAGTGCAATCATATAATACTGAAGTTAAACCTGCGTCGGTCGACACAAACGTACCTAGAAACAGAACATACCTAAGTCTCTCCTACTTTTCTTGAAATTCTCTAGATGTACTAGCATTTGTTTTTATCTCAAATCCGATGAATAAATCTCTGTCTATGTAATTCTTATAATGTTAAATTTATTTCATGCAATTT